AGTGCTGAGACGGGCCAAGGGCTTCTCAGCTCCCAGCTCTGCCAGGGGCACAAGGAGCTGGGAGGGGGCACGGCCAGGACAGCCGACCCCAACCGACCCCAGGGGTACCCACACCGTATGGCGTCACGTGCAGTATAGAAACCGGGGGAAGAAGAAGTAAAGGGGGGGGCGTTGGGAGCGATGGCCTTTGCCTGCCCCAGTCACCGTTACAGCGGTCGTGGGGGGGCTGGCCACCCCCTGCCATGGGAAGCAGGGAAGGAATCCCTTGCTTTGCTCTGCTTGCCTGTGCAGCTTTTGCTTTCCCTATTAAGCTGTCTTTATCTCAACCCATGAGTTTTCTGACTTTTACTCCTCTGATTCTCTCCCCTGTCCCATTGTGGGGGCAGTGAGCAAGCGGCTGGGGGGGCTGAGTTGCCGGCTGGTGTTAAAGCATGACAGCGTGTCATCATTCAGAAGAAATATCAACACATCTCATTTTAATTCTCATTCATAAAACAATGTTTCTAAGACTGCAAAGGATCCAAGTCGTATTACTCATCCTTCGCGATCCCAGCAGCCTCCCAAGGGATTAATAGAGTGTATTTTGAGCGTGGCTGAGTCTCGCCCCTCCCCACAGGAGCAGCAGCCCAGGGGCGGGGGGGTATCCACCCCACTGTCCTCTGCAGTGACCCTCCGCTCAAGGTGACAAGTCACGGGGCAACCGTGAGCCAGCGGCCAGCTGAGGCGGGGGAGCCTCTGCCCAGGGAGCAGACAGGCAAAAGGAAAGCTCCTGTCCCAAACCCCTTTCCTACGCGGGCTGGCAGTTTTCTCAGAGGAGCCCTCCCGGTGCATAAGGGGCTCGAGCTGCGTGGATGCGGGCACCTGCATGTGCAGCCGAGCCCGTGCCCGTGCCCAAAGTGTCTGCGGCTCTGGGCTGCGCTGCACCGACACGCAGCTCCCGAACCCCGGCAGCCCAGTGCCCCTGGGGAAGAGGAACTGCAGGGCTTGGTGGGCACATGTCCATGCATAGGAGCCACATGAAGCAACTTAAGATCTAGAAGACACCAAACATGAATGGGAGGACTGAGGCCGGCTGTGCAGTGGGGCAGCTGCCTTCAGTGGCCTCCTAGGACCCAAGGAGGACAGCTCAGGGAATGGAATCACAGTAAGATGCTCCCATCTCGCATCTGTGATGGCTCCTACACACAGTATCACAGAATCCCAGAATCCCAGCATGGCCGGGGCTGGCAGGGCCCTCCGGAGCTCACCCAGTGCCACCCCCCTGCTCAAGCAGGCTCACCCAGAGCAGGGGGCACAGGACAGCGGCCAGGCGGGGGTTGAAGATCTCCAGAGAAGGAGACTCCACAGCCCCCCTGGGCAGCCTGGGCCAGGGCTCGGGCACCCTCACAGTCAACAGGTTCTTCCTCTGCAAAGGAACTTGAGTCTCTGCTTGCCCCTGCCCCACTCTGCAGGTGGCCTCAGCGAAGACTCTGTCACCCAAAGGACTGGTGTGTGGGTTAGGAAGAAGCCATGGAGGAGGTGATGCTTGGTTGTCCCACCTCAGATGCAGACCCGGACCACGTGCATCTCTGGGAGTCGGGAAGGAGCACATGAGAAAAGTCACCCATTACTTCCTGAGCCAGGGACCACATACCAAATGCCATTCTACAAGCATAATAAAACAGATAATTTGCAAAAGTTAATCTTTTTTCCTAAATCAGGAATGTTCAGCGCCCGGTCTGGCCACTGATGGACTCCTGGGATGGATGTACTACTTTTAGCGGATTTGTGAAACACGACTGAGTGAGAAAGGCTGTTGTTTGACTTGCTGTGCCAGGACCCATAGCGCCAGCAGAAGTCTTTTAGGGCTTTTCAGGCTGAACAAGGCTGCAAAGTGTGATCCTACAGCAGTAGCGGGCAGACCCCGCAGGGGCTCGCTGTGAAACTTGCCGCCGCGTCCGCACTGTGCAGGACGGCTGCCGGGGGCT